TATATATATATATATATATATGAATAAATTAAAGAAGAAAAATAAATGATAATATATTAAACAATTATTTAAATAATAAAATAATTAATTTACTTAAGTGTAACTTTTGGTTTTAATTTTTGCATTTATATATAATTTATTAGTATATACACACACACACACACACACACACACACACACACAAACACAGTGCTCAGTATAGATAAGTACACTCCTCTAACTTTTCTTTAAATTCATATTTTTTTTTAATAGGAAGCTGTACAATATTATATTTGTGCATATACATTAGATTAGTCAGTACTGAAGCCAATTCTGGAGCTAATCTAGCTAAATACAAAATATCAATCAATGATCAAAACAAAATATGGCATTGTATTATATACAGTTAAAGTCAGAATCATTAGACCGCTTGTTTATTTTTTTTCCTTAATTTCTTTTTAACGGAGAAAAGATTTTTTCAGCACATTTCTAAACATAATAGTTTTGATAACTTCTTTTTAATAACTGATTTATTTTATCTTTGTCATTCATTCATTCATTCATTTATTTTCTTTTCGGGGTAATCGCTTTATTAATCCGGGGTAGCCACAGCAGAACGAACCGCCAACTTATCCAGCAAGTTTTTAAGCAGCGGATGCCCTTCCAGCCGCAAATCTTTGGCATATGTCAGCAAATAATATTTGACTTGATATTTTTTAAGACACATCTATATATCTCAAAGTGACATTTAAAGGCTTAACTAGGTTAATTAGGTTAACTAGGCAGGTTAGGGTAATTAGGCAAGTTATTGTATAACGATGGTTTGTTCTGTAGACTATCAGAAAAAATATTTAGCTTAAAGGGGCTAATAATATTGACCTAAAAATGGTGTTTAAAAAATTTAAAACTGCTATTATTTTAGCCGAAAAAAAAAAAAAAGATTTTCTCCAGAAGAACAAATATTATCAGACATACTGTGAAAATTTCCTTGCTCTGTTACACATCATTTGGGAAATATTTAAAAAAGAAAAAAAAATCAGAGTGGGGCTAATAATTCTTCAACTGTGTATGTATATATATATATATATATATATATATATATATATATATATATATATGTATGTATGTATGTATGTATGTATGTATGTATGTGTGTGTATATATATATATATATATATATATATATATATATATATATATACATTGTATTGATTTTAGTTCTTGCTGTGAGGCTAACGTGCTGCCCACTTTGCCACGATGCCTACTTATATTTAATACAAATTGTAAAGTAATACACACAGTACATTCTCATTATAGTTTCAGTAATATTTAAGTTGTTTTTTTTTTTTATATTCTCTTGCATAATATTTGCATGAAAGTACATTTCCATTAATTAACAAGAAACTGCACAAAAACAGTTGTAATTTGCTTGTGGTTTAAACTGGGAATTTTAAGTCTGTTCATTTAGATTTTTTCTGCTTTTGTGCATCTGACATGTTTTTCTCTGTGTTTGTAGCGTTCGCAGGGAAATGGACAGCGATGCGGAAGCGATGGAGCAGACGATTCAGGACTTGAAAGAAGCCAGTGACCCACTCTACATGCCCGACCCAGACCCCAACAGGATCCCTGTCAACCGCAATCTGACACGCAAAGCCGGATACCTCAACACTCGCAAGTACAGGACAAAAAACATTACATTCACAGACTCTCAGTTTGATTCATGATTGGATTTTCAGTTTGGGTTCAGTGATTAATATTACAGATAGAACAATTTAAAATATAGCAGGGTATATAGTTGAAGTCAGAAGTATTAGACCTTCTGAATTTTGACAATAGAAAACCAATTTAGTCTGAGGAGTATAATAATATTGACAAATTTTAAAAGATGCTTTTATTCTAGCCGAAATAAAATAAATAAGACTTTCTCCAGAAGAAAAAATATTATAGGAAATACTGTAAAAATTCCTGAATCTGTTAAACATCATTTAGGAAATATTAGAAAAAGAAATAAGAATTTACTGGATGGCGAATAATTCTGACTTTAACTATATATAGAGTATACAGTGCAGTGTGTTTGTGCTGATCTGCTCATCTCTGGCAGTAAAACGGGCCTGGTGTCGTCCAGCTGGGAGCGTCAGTACTTCTTCACGCAGGGAGGAAACCTGATGAGCCAGAGCAGAGGAGCCGTGGCTGGAGGACTCGTCATGGACATCGACAACTGCTCCGTCATGGCCGTGGACTGTGAGGACCGGCGCTTCTGCTTTCAGATCACTGCCTTCGATGGAAAGAAGTAAGACTGCAGTGCACACGTCTGCATTATTAGGACGTGTCTGATATTGGGGGAACAAAAAGATCTATTTTAATCTGTGTCTGAAAGCGTTACCATGCTCCCTTGTACACTGTGTCGTAACTGCCACAACACACAATAAAAGCTGTCTTTTCAATGTTAAAAGGAGTCTTTAGTAACACTTTAGAATAACTACACACTATGAATCATTTATTAAGTATTAGCAAATAGTGAATTCATTATTTGTTAAGTATTACCATTAATAAATGTTAATAAGAAATTTATATCTACTAATAATAAACTACTACTAATAATTGCGTTTTCATACTTTGTTAATGAGTATTTTTTAATTCAGGGTTTCCGCGGGGTCTTAAAAAGTCTAAAATTTAAAAAACGAAATTTTGGGCCTAAAAAAGCCTTAAATTCACTGTTTTAGGTCTTAAATATTTTTGCACAGGTCTCATTTCTCCGATGTCAATGTAACACTACATCTAATGCTCATTGAAGTTCTTTTTTGTTGTTGTTGCTTGGTTTTTGTGGTGTTATAGTTCTTTATTTCACTAGTCCAAATGTAATTTGCGGTATTTCAACTACAAATGAGACCAACATGCAATTGCCAATCTGCTTTCTGTTATGGAACTCAGTGCGCGCGGCGAATGTGACGTCATCGATGTGTGCTAAATTGTCAGTGACCTTTTTGCTGTGAGGCGACAGCACTAACTATTGCGCCACCCCGTGGCCCAACTTTGTAATCATTATAATAAATACAAAATAATTTGTTTAAAATTATTGAATAATATTGATATGACGTAGTTCCAGACACTTCCAACTTCTCTGTTTATCTGTCTGACTTTACGGTGGGTTTCTTTTGACTGGCCCCTGTCGTTTTAAAAAATATCACAACGGTAACAGCGTCAAAATTAATGACTTTATTAATTTCTATTCATTTGAAGAGACACAAATGATCCTGTATCAAATGAAAAATATTGAGTAAATAAAGCATTTATTAGCATGCATAGTAACCATTACTAAATGTCAGAATAATAAAATATATAAATAAACTCATTCTGAATGATCTTAAAATCCAACAACTGCCCCTGAATACAAATGGCTTGTAAATAATGCAATGCTGAATTTAGTAATAAACAATTAATAAATATTAAAATATGAAAATACAATCATTAAGCACATTATAAATCAAGAAATAAAGTCAAGAATACAGTATATGTAGCTATATTTATAAACTGCTTACTAACGTTTATTAATGTTGAGTTAATGCATAACATTAATTTTTTGGCAATGCTTAATAGAGCATTCATAGTGTGTAGTAATTATAAAGTGTTACAGCGTTTTGTCATAAACATCTGTCATGTGCAACATGTGTATGCTGGAAATACAAATTACTACAGCATAAACTACTAAGACAATGATCAGCTCAGGGATTCCTCATGTGCTTTATTCAGTGTTAAATGCTCGATGAAAACATTTTAAGTGACATTTATTGCCATACTACTAAAAGCTGCAGCAGATAGATCCCCTATGCTAATGAGGGAGAGATGGTCACTAGTGGGCGGGGCTTTCCCCCTCTGATGACATGTACAAAGGGAGAATGTCAATCAAAGTGTTTCTGCAGACTGTTTACATCAAGTCTGATTATAAACAACAGAATTAATTTTTTTTTATCATTGGAAACTGGATATATTTACACACTGCTGACACACAGCGGTGTTTAAACCCCTTATTAAAGTGATTTTTTGCATAAAAGGTCCCTTTTAAGCACTGTTATTTCTGCACTGCATATTTTATATGTAAGCCAGGATATATTTTGCTCAATTGAATTGCTCTTTTTCAGCCTTTAGTGATTATTGGGAATCTAAAACTCCCATCAGAACCAAGCTGGATTATTTATCATGTGGTTGAACGGCAGCATGTGCCAAATATTGACTCATTCTGACTCACTGATTCCTCTGATTGTCTGTTTCTCTGTAGAGCTGCAGTATTACAGGCGGACAGCAGGAAAGACTGTGAGGAGGTGAGAGAACCGACTTTCCCTTTATCTCATTCACAACACTGAAGCTAAGCAGGACTGAGCTTGGTCAGAACCTGGATGGGAGACCACATGGGAACACCGGGTTGCTGTTGGAAGTGGTGTAAGTGAGGCCAGCAGGGGGCGCTTAACCTGCGGTCTGTGTAAGTCCTAATGCCCCAGTAAAAGTGAAGGGGACACTTTACTGTCAATGAGCGCCGTCTTTCTGTAGATGTTAAACTGAGGTCCCGTTTCTATTGTCATTAAAAGTCTCATGGTTCTTCTTGTAAAGAGTAGGGGTGTAACCCCGGTGTTCTGGCCAAGTTTTCTCCATCAGCCCTTACCCATCGTGGCCTCCCAATCATCCCCATCCACTGAATTGGCTTTATCACTGTCCAACATCACAATAGCTGGTGTGTGGTGAGCGCACTGGCGCCGTTGTCCTGTGGCTGCCGTCGCATCATCTAGGTCACAGGTGTCAAACTCAGTTCCAAAAGGGCCGCAGCTCTGCACAGTTTAGTTCCAGCCCTAATCAAACACACCTGATCAAACTAATTGAGTTCTTTTGGCTTGTTTGAAACCTACAGGTAAGAGTGTTGGAGCAGGGTTGGAACTAAACTGTGCAGGGCTTCAGCCCTCCAGGAATTGAGTTTGACACCCCTGATATAGGTGGAGCTGCACACTGGTGGTGGTTGTGAAGCGCTTTGGGTGGATGTATGGCCCAATAAGTACACAATAAATGCGCTTTATAAATACACATTACATTACATTTGACCACAGAAGTAAAAAAATATGATTATTCTACTGTTCAAGCCTGGTGTTAGTAAATTTGTTAATTTAAGTTAATTATTTTTAATTGTTATTAATTACATTTTTAAAAAAGGAATCTTTTTTTTTTTTACTTTTTGTTGATCAAAGCATCAAAGTTTCCACCAAAATATTACAAGCAGAACTGTTTTTAACATATTAACAATAATAAAAATAAAAGGATTATGAGGAAGATGTTGATTCCATAATGTTTTATTTTATTTTTAAACAAATCTTTTACTGTATTTTCCCTTATATTTCTTCAAATTAAAATTATTTTTACAACTAAAATGTGCATGAAAAAAGGGAAGCTACAAGAAAAACGATCCGAAGGTAATTAATATTACATAATGTTAAAATAATATTACATTTTTAATTTTTGTTTATTCATTTGCAATCATTTTCTTCAATTAAAAATACCATTCATTTATTTGCAATTTTTCCTCTGGGGATTCGAAACGCTTCTGTAATCCTCATTTGTAAGTCGCTTTGAATGAAAGTGTCTGCTAAGTAAATAAATGTAAATGCAATATTAGAAATATTGTTTATGATATTATCACATTATGATATACATATACATACATTTATTGACATTGTTAAGAAGGAAAGAAAGAATAACACCAGCAATTTTTAATATAGAAATTTCTAAATATTATTTCTATAACTGAGCTAACAAAGTACAGCTGATTATTTATGTTCACAAAGATGAATTAGTACTATAACAATGATATTGCTTATTAGTTATTATTAGTTTTATTAGATTGATACTTATTATATTTATTAGTTAATGTAAATCCATTAAATAATGTTAACAAATGACGCTTTCTGTAAAGTGTTTCCAAAAATGAACCTTAAATATGACTTTGTTTTTATGCAACAGTTTTTTTATTTAGATTTTCTACTAAATATGACTTTATACATCCAGTTCAACTAAAAATACCATAGTAATTCATAGCAAATACTATAGTGTTTTTGAACCGTACTATAGTAAAGCACTTGAACTATTCTGTTGTGCAGTAATATAAACAAATGTGCTACAATTCACAAACGTTTCCTGCTCTTTCTTTGACTTTAGTGGATTGCAACAATAAACAACATCTCCAAGAGGATATACCTCAGTGAAAACCCAGAGGTGAGTGTAGAGTTCACTTTTACTGGCATTAGATGCATGCAATAAAAGCTCACTGAAGACCATTGGTGCAGGATTTCTAATGTTTTTCTGCTGAATGCAGGAGATCGCAGCCAGAGTGAATCAATCCGCACTGGAGGCAGTGACTCCTTCACCGTCTTTCCAGCAGAGACACGAGAGCTTCAGACCAAACACGTGAGTGATTTCAACTCAATACTGCAGAGCTTTGTTCCTCAGTTTTTCAATATAAGTTAATCATTAGTCTTGAATGTGCAGTAGGTGTGGATGCCGCATATTTTTAATGAATAAAAAATGCAGTAATGTTTTTTTTACATGTGTGAATTTGATTTAAAGGGGTGATCCGCTACGATTTCATATTTGAAAGTTTAGTTTATGCTAATGTAGCTGTGTGAAAATGGCATTTCTAAATGTAATACACTAAAAGCTTACGCAAGCTTATAACCAAAAAAAATATATATATATATATATATAATAGAGCTGTGAACCTACACTAGTCTCACGGTTCGGTTCGGTTACAATTATCATACCATCGATTTGGTTCAATTCGATATTTCGGTGCATCACGGTGCATTGACGATGCTTTCCATATACAGCTTTTCACAATTTCTTCACAGCAGCATTTCTTGTATTAAACTGTATGAATATATTTATATTTATATACTATTTGTAATACAATTTTGTCATTTAATACAAACAGTCAGAACAACACGAGCATTTAGCAAATAATATAAAAAAAATAATCCTTGTCTAGTTCTCTTACACCCCTTTGATTGGTCACACCCTCAAAAAAAACGGTTGCGATTGGCTCTTGCGTGCTGCGTTCTTCACAGATGAGTGACACTGATAAGCGGCAGGCGGCAGCGGCGATCTCACAGCTGATGTATGATAGACACGGTGGAGAAAACTCTACAGACACACGCTCGTTTCTGTATGCAAAAGTAACGCTGTAAAACAGCCGAGAAGAGAAGAAAAGCCACGCCAGCAGGTCAAATGGGCCACTGTGTGTGTGTGAGAAAGAGAGAGAGCGAGAGAGAGAGAGAGAGAGAGAAATTGAGTAGGCAACTTTCATTCTCTTGATCTCAGTGAAATAGGGGCTATTGTTGTATATGTCTGTAAAAAACTGATCCAGCAAACACACACAGTGAAATTGTGCACAGTTTATGAGTTTTAAGTAGTTAAAGCGCTGTAAATACTCGCGATCGCCTCCCTCGCGACAGAGCGCATATGAGGTAAATGACGTCAGTAAAAACCGGTTATGATTATTACTGAACTGATACCGAATCGTCCGCGTCTGCATCGCAGTGCACTGAAGAAACGATTCATTTTGACACCCCTAATATATTTATAAATATGAAAGATACTAGTCAGATGTTATTTTAGAGAGCAGGTGTGAGGTTCAGCTGTGTCCTCTTCATTTCCTGTCTGATTCAGGCTCAAACTGATACGGCTAACAGCTACACTGACTGACAGTGTATTTACACAACAGCAAAGCGTGTGCTAGTAGAGGTGTGATGCTTCCTGGTGACGTGTAGCCGATCTGCGAATCAAAGCACATTATGTTAGCTGACCAATCAGAGCCTCTTGAGGGCAGGCTTACGGAGGAACTAGGAAATATGACAGTCTTTTTGATGAGCATATAACAAAAAAAAACGTGATTTTTTTTTACAAATAAAGCATGAGCACACATTGCACCCCATAAACACCACCAAGCTTTAAAAATACTAAATAATCAGTATTTTATAATGAATCTGATTCACTCTACTGAACTGCATTCTTGTTAGCACATCACGTTTGATGTGGTAATTTCACAGTAGGAATACACACAGGTTCGAAGACTCGTTCTCGCCACCTACAGTGCAGTTCGGCCAGGTATACTTCCGCGCTAAACTATCAAGGTGAAAGTCATCATAGCTTGCGTAGAATAGACCCAGCTCCCAACCCAACCCAACAGAGCAAGGAAATTTTAGCAGTAATTCCTATAATATTTTTTCTTTGCAGAAAGTCTTATTTGATTTAGTTTGGCTGGAATCAAAGCAGTTTCAAGTATTTTAAAAACAATATTAAGGTCATTATTATTAGCCTCCTTATTTGTTTTAGATCTTTAGTCTACAGCAGGCGTGTCCAAACTACGGCCCGCGGGCCATCTGCGGCCCGTAATCAGTTTTGTGGTGGCCCGCGAGGCTTTTTATAAATAATAATAGAATCTGGCCCGCTATACAAAAATGAACGTAATTCAATAAATAACCACCGGGTGTCGCTATTACATGCATTCAATTAAGCAGTAGTTCTTGTTATGATCTATCTATCTATCTGTCTGTCTATCTGTCTATCTGTCTATCTGTCTGTCTGTCTGTCTGTCTGTCTGTCTATCTACACACAGTTGAAGTCTGAATTATTAGCCCCTCTTTGATGTATTTCTTCTTTTTTAAATATTTCCCAAATGATGTTTAACAGAGCAAGGACATTTTTACAGTATGTCTGATAATATTTTTTCTTTTGGAGAAAGACTTATGTTTTATTTCGGCTAGAATAAAAAGCGGTTTAAATTTTTTTATGAACCATTTTAAGGTCAAAATTATTAGCCCCTTAAGTCTTCAGAACAAACCATTGTTATAAAATAACTTGCCTAATTACCTTAACTTGACTAGTTAACTTTATTAACCTAGTTAAGCCTTTAAATGTCACTTTAAGCTGTATAAAAGTGTCTTAAAAATATCTAGTCAAATATTATTTACTGTCATCATGGCAAAGATAAAATAAATCAGTTATTAGAAATGAGTTACTAAAACTAATATGTTTAGAAATGTGTGGAAAAAAATCTTCTCTCCGTTAAACAGAAATTGGGGACAAAATAAATGGGGGCTAATAATTTAGGGGGGCTAACAATTCTGACTTCAACTGTATATATATATATATGCGTGTCTGTGTGATGTATGTAAAATTTGGCCCGCGACAATGTTTGTTTTTTTGCATCTGGCCCTCGGCCCAAAAAGTTTGGGCACCCCTGGTCTACAGAACAAACCACTGTTATACAATGACTTGCCTAATTACCATAACCTGCCTGATTAACATAATAACCTAGTTAAGCCTTTACATTAAATAAGCTATGATTAATAAATGTTGAAGTTATCTAGAATACTAGTATCCTGAAGAATATCTAGTCAAATATTATACATTGTCATCATGGCAAAGATAAAAGAAATCAGTTATTAGAAATGAGTTATTAAATTTATTATAATATTGACCTTAAAAACGGTTTTAAAAAATAATAAAACTGCTTTTACTATAGTCGAAATAAAACAAATAAGAATTTCTCCAGAAGAAAAAATATTATAGAAAATACTGTGAAAAATCCCTTGCTCTGTTAAACATCATTTTGGAAATATTTGGAAAGAAAAAAAAATCATTTACACAAAAGCTAATAAAAAACTGTGTGTTTTTGCTCCTGAAGGCAGGGTAAAGTGAAAGCGTCCCGTTCAGGCAGTCAGTGCTCTGTGGGCTCCGAGTCTCCAGCTCTGTCATCTCTGTCTCTGGATTCACTGGTTGCTCCTGATACTCCCATACAATTCGACATCATTTCCCCCGTCAGCGAGGAGCACACAAGTCAGACGAAAAGCAGTGCACAGGGCAGGTCTGAGCTCATATACTAAATATTCAGGACTATTTATTTACTCTTAACTACTTAAGAAAAGTCTTGTCATGGATCCCAGTTGTAAGAGCAACAAATAACAACTAGTTGATCATTTGGAAAAGTTGCAGAAGTAGGATTTTTCTGATGAATCTTCTGTTGATCTGCATCCCAATCATCGCAAATACTGCAGAAGACCTACTGGAACCCACATGGACCCAAGATTCTTAGAGAAATCAGTCAAGTTTGGTGAAGGAAAAATCATGGTTTGGGGTTATATTCAGTATGAAGGCGTGTGAGAGATCTGTAACATCAACAGCCTGAGGTATCAAGACATCTGTGCTGCCCATTACATTACAAACCAGAGGAGAGGGACAATTCTCCAGCAGGATAGCGCTCCTTCTCATACTTCAGCCTCCACATCAAAGCTCCTGAAAGCAGAGAAGGTGCTCCAGGATTGGCCAGCCCAGTCACCAGACATGAACATTATTGAGCATGTCTGGGGTAAGATGGAGGAGGCGTTGAAGATGAATCTAAAGACTCTTGATGAACTCTGGGAGTCCTGCAGGAACGCTTTCTTCACCATTCCAGATGACTTTATTAATCAGTGATTTGAGTCATGTCAGAGATGTATGGATGCAGTCCTCCAAGCTCATGATGGAGTCAGACACAATATTCATTCTGTCTCCACTGCAGCAGGACTTTATATTCTATACTGGACAATATTTCTGTTCAGTGACAAGACTTTAGTCTAAGCAAAGTCAGACCTTACTGTCCTAATGAAATCATTCAAAATCAAGACATGATCAGATTTTATTTTGGTCAGTTAAGCGTCATCTAGAGGCCTTTGCCTTTCATATAAGATACTTCTGATACCAAATGATCAACTAGAAGTCAAGTTATTATTTGTTGCTCCTAAAACTTGTATAAGCAACAATACTTTTGTCAGGTAGTGTATTAGGCATAAACGTAAAGCACTGGTTTGTGTTTTTCCCCTTTTCTGAAAGAAGGACAAACCCATTCGGGGAATCTGGAGGATCACAATCTGAAGAAAGTGAAGGTAATATTATGTAGGACACATTTAATTGATCAGAAGTTTAGAAGTGACAGTCAAGACATGTATAAGCCCACACAAAAAACTTGAGTCACTAACTCTATTTTTTTTAATGTGTGTTTATGTATGTGTATATACAGTTTAGGTCTAAACAAATATTTCCCAAATGATGTTTAACAGAACAAGGAATTTGTCACAGTATTTCCTATAAATATTTTTTCTTGTAGAGAAAGTTTTATTTGTTTTATTTCAGCTAGAATAAAAGCAGTTTTTATTTTTTATCAACATTTTTAAGGTCAGTATTATAATTCCCCTTAAGCAATATTTGTTTTGACTGTCTTCAGAATATATACAGTTGAAGTCAGAATTATTAGCCCCCCTGTTTATTTTTGCCCCCCAATTTCTGTTTAACGGAGAGAAGATTTTTTCAGCACATTTCTAATCATAATAGTTTTAATAACTCATCTCTAATAGCTGATTTGTTTGATTTGATACGGCCAACAGCTACACTGACTGACAGTGTATTTACACAAAAGCAAAGCGTGTGCTAGTAGAGGTGTGATTCTTCCTGGTGACGTTTAGCCGATCTGCGAATCAAAGCACATTATGTTAGCTGACCAATCAGAGCCTCTTGAGGGCAGGCTTTCGGAGGAACTAGGAAATATGACAATTGTTTTGATAAGACACTTCTATACAGTTTAAAGTGACATTTAAAGGCTTAACTAGGTTAATTAGGTTAACTAGGCAGGTTAGGGTAATTAGGCAAGTTATTGTATGACGATGGTTTGTTCTGTAGACTATTGAAACAAAATTCGCTTAAAGGGGCTAATAATATTTACCTTAAAATGGTGTTTAAAAAAGCTGCTTTTATTCTTGCCAAAATAAAACAAATAAAACTTTCTCCTGAAGAAAAAGATATTATCAGACATACTGTGAACATTTCCTTGCTCTGTTCAACATCATTTGGGAAATATAAAAAAAACCCCTCAATAATACTGACTTCAACTGTATATATTTTCTTTTCCAGTAATATTACTGATTAATATGCAAATGTGTATGTTTAGCTGATTTGTGCACAACACAATATGTACAGTGATGTTGTCCATGTCTTTTAGTGGATTATTATATAAGAGACGTGCTTTAGATTTGTTTACCAAACAAGTGGCTCTAATTGGATTTGCATTTCCACGAGTCTTTAATAAAAGTGTTTTTTATTTTTATTTCACACTCATATACTGTCAAAATCATTCTGCAGATTTCTCTAAACACACTTCTGTGCAGAAATCACAACAAATCCACATATTAAAACACAGTTCGTAATGATATTTTACATTATTACTGTATTCTTAATCATAGATGCAGCCTTAGTCATTGTGAGATTTAAAAAAAAAAGTAATTATTCAGTACATGCATTTTAATAGAATATTTGAAACAACATTCGCGGGGCAGTTAATTTCTTGTGATATTTAATATTGTGTGAATTTTCATCAATTCAATCTATTGGTGTTTAATCATGCACAAAAGCACTAAAGAGTTTAATTGTTGTTGTTTTGATCTGTATATTGTTGGTGTGTTTTCAGACTCGATCCTGCATCAGTTGTTCATCGTGCGCTTTCTGGGCTCTATGGAGGTGAAGGCCACAGAGAGCTCAGACGTCATTTATGAGACCATGAGGCAGATCCTGGCCGCTCGAGCCATTCATAACATCTTCAGGATGACCGAATCACACCTGCTGGTCACCTGCGAATGTCTGAAGTGAGTGAATTCTGTCAGTCTTGCGTAGCGAAATATTGTAGTCATTTATATTGAATACTACAGTGTTGTTGAATCATAGTATTGTAAAGTGCTTAAAATAATGTGTTGTGGCAATTCTATAGTTGCTTATGATTTAGTATATACTGTAAATCACTATAGTATTTTTCATGTGATTCAGTCTCACACTACACTGAGCGCATCCAGGACTAATGAAGTATGAAGTTAAACAAAACCCAAACCAAATCATTAAACGGCTGTAGTTTTTACAGTGTTTATTTACCTTAGCTAATGTTAACAAAATGCTAGCAACATGCTAAAATATTGTTATATACATGTTAATAACATGCTGAAATATGCTAGCAATCATGTTATCAAAATGTTAAACATTCATTATTTAAATGTGTTAATGTTTATAAGAAACATGCTATAATCATGCAAGAAACATGTTAGCAAAATGCTAAAACATATCATCAACATGTTTTAATTTGTTAATGTGCATAATATTAGAAACATGCTATTATTTTACAAGAAACATGTTAGCAAAATGCTAAAGCATGATGTCAGCCTTGTGTTTTAATGTATTAATGTATATAATGTTAAAAACATGCTGAAACAAGTAAGAAACATGATAGCAATGTGTCAAAGTATCAATGTGTTAAAATAAGCTAAAATGCATAACATGTTAAAAAACGTGATTAAACAGGTTGCTAGTAATATGTTAGCAGTGTGCTAAAATATTGGTGTTAAAATGTGTTAACGTATATGAAATGTTGGCAACATTCTAAAATCATGCTAGAAACATGTTCGCTTAATGCTAAAACATGCTGTCGAATTGTAAAAATGCATTAGCATGTATGTTTAAAATAAAAAAAAATTATAATGCTAATAATTTTCTAAAACAAGTTAGAAAACATGTTAACAGATTGTTAGAAATCTGCTAATCTGCTTTAAAACATGTCAGCAACTTTCTAAAACATGTGAAACATAGCAAAACAAGTTCTAATCATGTTAGCAACTTTCTTAAACATTACTACTTTGCTATTAGAAACACATTAGCAGCATTAAAATAGCTAGAAATCTAAACATGCTACCAATGTTTATGTTAGAAACATGCTGAAACAAGTTAGAAACATGTTAGCAATGTGCCAAAGCATCAGCTAAAATTAATTTAAGCAAGTTGCTAAAAACATTAGCAATGTGCCTAAACATGCTATGAAGGTGTTAAAATGCGTTATGACGTTAAAAAATATGCAAGAAACATGTTAGCTCAATGCTAAAACATGCATATATATATATATA